AACATCGAACCAACATAACAAATTCCCTCAGTTCTTCTTGTTAGCTGCCAAGTTTGTCATGGCAAAACGGAGGAAAAAAAAACCTACAAACGTCTTTCACTGCATCAGCAATGCCTATAAATAAGGAGGAGTTTTTTGGGGGGCGGGGAGCACAGAATCCCAGGGCTTTGAAAATGCCATAACGGCTCAATTCTGGCGTATTTCAGCCTATTTGAAGATTTCCCCCAATTCAGGGTTCTCATCTGTACAAACATCATTCTGGGCAGAAAATTTGGTTTAAAACTGTTTCGGAGACGCTCCTGCTTTCCTGAGCATTTAAAAAAAAAAAAAAAAGCTCAAGAAAGTCATTTCCCCTCCCCACCCTAAATTCTGGGGTTCTCATGGGTCCCCCACAAGGAAAAATTAACCAGCTGACTCTTCTGATGATGCTCGTAAGCAAGCAACGCTCTGTATTTTGCAAACTATAAAAGGATGACTCTCTCTTTCTCTAAAAATAAAATTGGAGCCTGGTTGCAACCACATCACCATCTCTGCCTGTGGGTTTTAAGCGCCTTTTCGCTCAGCCAAAACCCTCAGGAAAAAAAAAGGAAGTTTATTTCTAGTGCGGGTCGAGTCAAAGCGATTCTGGAAACCAGTGGTCAGCAAATGTGGCAATGCCTGTTTCTGTAGCGGGTTTATAGGTCCTAAATGACTCTTGAGCAGTGGCCAATTCTCCCTTTGTAACTGGGGATGGAAACAATATACCTCTCAGGCATAAAACCGGCGTGAGCTCATCCGCCTGATCCAAATTAAGAACTTTGGGCCAACCACCAGGAGACTGGGAGTTCTAGTTCCGTCTTAAGCATGAAAGCTGGCAGGGTGACTTTGAGCCAAACACTAGGATACGGTGAGTTCTAGTTCTGCCTTAGGAGACGGTGAATTGTAGTCCCATTGTAGGCAGAAAAGCTGGCTGGGTGACTTTGGCCCATCACCAGGAGACTGGGAGTTCTAGTTCCGCCATAATCACTAGGAGACGGGGAAACAGAAGGTCGCCAAAGAGGAATTGCAGGACGCTGCAACCGTCATAAATATGAGTCAGTTGCCAAGCGTCTGAATTTCGATCACGTGACCCTGGGGATGCTGGGGGTCATAAGTGTGAGACCTCATGACCTCCAGTGAAACCTGGTCATCGGTCACTTTTTTTTTTTCAGCGCTGTTGTGACTTCGAACAGTCACTAAGCGAAGGGCTGTTCGCCAAGGACTACCTGTGATGCGATCAGAGTCACCCAGTGAGAAAAAGGGGATTTATTAAAAGCCTTTCCTGTGTTGTTTTGGGGAACTGACCTTGTACAGAGTACATATCAACGAAGAATGTCATCTTCCTTTCAGAACGATCTGGGATCTCATTTAACAAGATCCTTCTGAGTCTGTCCTAAGGATCCTGCCCAGCTTTCTGACACTTTACTGGGAAGTTTTATCTTCTCAACACATCCTTCTGGTGTCCCCCACCCTCCCACCCCAAATGGAGATTAGCTCTGTACAGGAAGGGAATTTCTTCTCTCACTTGCCTGGGACAGCCTCCCACAATACTGTCACACTAACCACAACCACCTCGCTGCCTCACAGGCTTTGGACGTGTGGACTGTATAGCCAACGGCGGAGAGACAGAATAGAACGAAGCAGATTTATTCATTAGAGCCCGTTTCTTTTCACAAGAAAGGCGAGGAACGATGGTTACAGATTTCCGTGGAGCTAAGTTTTCAAGCAACAAAACTCATCAGGTGGAACCTTCAAAGTCCTATACTTCAAAAGTCCTGGGTGGAGTTTTCCCTTCCAAACCTTGCAGCTCCTTTCCCCCGATACATCATTCTATCATCTGTCTGTCCATCATCCATCAAGTATAAAGTGGTCCAGGTGCCAGGCTGCAAATTCACCCCGTCTTTTCCTATTCTTTTTCTTCTTCACTGGATTGGGTTCATTGTCTTATTGAGCAAATGAAACTCCCAAGTGCCCTGCCGCTGAAGAAATGCCTTATTTTTTTTTTCTCTTTAGACTGGTGTTTCTCAGCCTTGGTGACTTTAAGGTGACGCATTCTGGGAATTGAAGTCCGAATAGAACAGAGTCGAGTAGAATTTAGAATACAGTAGAATTTAGAGTAGAGTTTAATTTAAAATAAACTTGAATTTAGAATAGGATTTAGAATAGAGTTGAATTTAGGATAGAGTAGAATTTAGAATAGAGTAGAATTTAGAGTAGAGTAGAATTTAGAGTAGAGTAGAGTTGAATTTAGAATAGAGTAGAATTTAGAATATAGAGTTGAATTTAGAATATAGAGTTGAATTTAGAATAGAGTTGAATTTAGAATAGAGTAGAATTTAGAATAGAGTTAAATTTAGAATAGAGTAGAATTTAGAATATAGAGTTGAATTTAGAATAGAGTAGAATTTAGAATAGAGTAGAATTTAGAGTAGAGTAGAATTTAGAGTAGAGTATAGTAACATAGAATAGAATAGGATCCTGGAGGTCTTCTAGTCCAGCCCCTTGCTCAGGCAGGAGAACCTATAACCACCTCAGACAAATGACTGTCCAGTATCTTAAATTCGTCAAGACTGAGAAACATTGCGTTAGTTCCAATTCAGTTGCCTTAACTTTATTTTTTAGATTGTCGGCCTAATGACAGCGGCAATCAATTTTGACGGCTTAGCATCTTTTCCAATTTTCCATATCTCTGCATTTCTTACATCGGCTAGGCACGACCATGGATTACATTTTAAGAAATTAATACTGTCTTGGAACTGGCCTTAACTTATGAATGCACAATATTAGAGCTCAAGTCAGTTCAGGCTCCCACAGGACGACAATTCGGTGTATTAATTTTGCCATACGTGGTGTTGTAAGTTTCAGAACACTAGCATAATATTAGCCCTGTTGCATCTGTGACCCCATTCCATATAGAAATGTATCCCTCTGGGTTAACGCAAAGCCACTGACAAAGAGCAGACTAGTGCTAAGTCATGGTTTGCAGCCTCAGTCGAATGTAATGAATAAACTACCATTGGCTGGATTCGTATCAGACATCAAGTTTTATAAACTGTCATTTATAAACAAGTGCAGATCATTGCATTTGGGTTTAAATGCGCGATATAGGAAGCCAGCTGCTTAAGGAATCAGATTCCCTCCCGTGGAAAGGCTGACCATGGAGGGCCACGCTGGTTATCCAAGAGAAGACAGACCGCCATAATAAATCTATGCTGGCTTGTGCCATAATCATAGCTTGAGCAAGCCACGGAGGGGTTTCCTATTAATACATTCTAAACCACCACAGCTGGATTCATGGAAGGCCTGTCGCTCACTCGGCAGTGAGACAGGCAGCGTATGAATTGAATCAGTAAAAGTCACGGCAACAGCTGAAGCTGTAACACAACGCCAAGTCAGAAGCAACCGAAACGTTTGGGCTCTTAAGGGCAGGCTCCGGAGAGGTTGGGACTTCCTTTCTTCAAATCTGGCCATGCGTGTGTGGCTAAGCCGCTGTCGAGAGAGTTGGACTATATGGCCTTAAGGCACCTCTCCACATTCTGAGTCCGTGAAGGACCTTCCCGGTCGCAAACAGTTCAAACCAACATATTGGTCCCCGGCTGAATTATTTATCCCTACATCCCAGATTTGCACAGTTGACCCATAAACTGCTTGCAGAGACTAGTCTCAATATAGATACTTGGGGATCGGGGCGTTATGTGAATCCAGACAGCCAAAACCATTAAGCCAAGATGATTAACTGTCATTAAGCCAAAATGATTAATCATCATTAAGCCCAAATTCCCAGGGTTGGATCTGAAGCCTGGAAAAGCCTCAGTGGCTGGCTTAGCTAGATTAACTGTCAACTACCCTATTTCTCCGACAATACGGCCTCCCCCAATAGGAAGTCCCAGCATGTTTTATAGGCATGAAATGAAATTAAGCCCAAATTAAGGCCTATATTAAAACATGCGAAATGGGAGGGGGAGATGGGGGGGGGCGGGGCTTGCCGTTAGGAAGTACTTTTGTTGCACACCCGGATATGGTGCTGCCTGCATTGACCCCGATACGAAGTGCCCCACCAACGCCGAGGTCAACATCCAAGCCATCACCGCCCACCTGCCCGAAGATGCAAGGGGGGTGGGGGGAATTAAGTCACCCCCGAAAAGACGACCTAGCCATTTTTTCGGGGCTCAAAAAAAAAAAAAAAAAAAAAAAGACCCGGCCTTATTATATGAGAAACGTGGTATTTGCAGGAAAGAGGTCTCCATCCTTGGCCATTTTAAGACTTGTGGACTTCAACTCCCACAAGGCCTCAGCCAGTGGCCAAGGTTGGAGACCCCCCCGATTTAGGGGAAAGGGGTTGAATTAGGACCTGTTCTGATAGGAACCAGGGCTTTTTATGGCTTCCTCCACAAGCCACGGTGAGAGCCAAGGGAGCCCCCAAGCCGTACAAACCCTAGTGACTGTACCGACTGCCCTCCCATGGATACCATCAGCTCCACGGCGTATCAGGAGGCAGCGTCCAAAATGAACCCCCCCCCGCCCATGCTTACAGGGCCGACCGACCATTAATCCCAGCTCACAAACTACAACAGGTGCCTTAAAGGAGGTATGCCAACTGAAAACAAACTATACAACCCACGGATGTGAGGGGACCGTCTAGTTCGTACAACCTGCCGAGGCTTCGTGTGGTTTGTTTTGTTTGTTTTTTAAAATCTGCCGGTGTCGAGCACAGTTTAGGCTTCCATAGAAACAGGACTTTCCTCCACCCCCCCCCCCCGTACTCATCAAAAACCAAAAGAAAAAAGCTTGGAGGGGATTTTTTTTCCCCCCCCCGCAACCAGGAATTTCAGCTCTGGCTTTCCTCTCCTCCCAACCTCCACCCCGAACTGAACGTTTTTCCCAGCTCCAAGGACACCCCCCTCTCTCTCTCTCTCTCTCTCTCGGAATTAAAGCAAAAGAGAGCCAACGACAACGGCACGCACAGAGGCTATTTGGTTTGGCAATCTTTATATATCCACAATACAGAATAACCATGCACGAAATCCAAGGGGAGTTTATTTACAAGGGGAATTGCACTTAACGTAAGAATCTGCAGGAAGCCATGAAGAGCGGGAAACCAAAACCCCCCCAAAAAAACCCCAACCAACCCTCCTCCGACTCCTTCGTCACCTCCGGAGATTCGACCAGGCCCCCCGGGGAGGGTTCGACCAGGCAAGAGAAGACATTCCAGAGCCTTTCCAAAGGTTTCGCCAGCACTCTGTGGCGGGTGCCAAGCCCCCGCGTTTTTGGGGGGGGTGGGGAGGGAAGAGGCAGAGCCTGTGCTTCATGTCCCGAGCCAGAAGTGCCCCGTTGTCCTCTTTAAACCCCTTTGCAAAGGTTGCAGTTTTCCAGAGAGAGAGAGAGAGAGACTGAGAGACACAGAGAGAGAGAGAGAGACTGAGAGACACAGAGAGACAGAGAGAGAGAGAGAGAGAGAGACAGAGAGAGAGAGAGAGACCAAGAGACACAGAGAGAGAGAGAGAGATAGATTGAGAGACACAGAGAGAGAGAGAGAGAGAGAGAGAGAGACCGAGACACAGAGAGAGAGAGAGAGAGAGACCGAGAGACACAGAGAGAGAGAGAGAGACAGACAGACAGACCTCTCTCTCTCTCTCTCTCAAGCTTGATGCCTCAAAGGGAATTGCTCTCCCTCTTGCCGAGCGCCAAAGATCCTTCCAGCAACCTTCCTTGCTCGCAAGGCAGCCAAGGGAGGCGGGAAGGCGTGGGGTGGGGAGCAGGCCATCTACGCCCAGGAGGGGAACGGGGGGGGGGGGGGCCCGGGCCGTTCACCCCGCCCGGGGGTCTCTTCTCCTCCTCCTTGCCCCCCCCCACAAGGGTCTTGAGCCCCCAGGGTGTTAGCAACAGCAGGTTGAAGGAGCGGGGAGCAGAGAGGAACCCGCTGGGGCAAAGTCTAAGGAGCCGCGAAAGAGAACCGGAGGCACCTGCAGTCTTCCTTTTGAATTCAGTGAGGCTGCTAATCCAGAGCAGGGAGAGATTTCCTGGGAGAAGTTACCCCGAAACAGAAACACGCCGTGGGTGGACTGACCCCCGTTCCCACGGCCCCCGTTTCGCTTCCTTCCTTCCCTCCTTCCCTTCATCCTTACAGGACCTGGTGTTTTGTTCTGTTTTCGTAAAATTATCCCTCGGTTCCCTTTGAGAGAAATACCTCCAGAACCAAAGAGCAAAAAAAATGAAATGGGTGTGTGTGTGTGTGTGTGTGTGTGTGTGGTCATTTGAGATTGACAGGGGAGGGGAGGAGGTGGAATCCAGTCACTCTTTGAAGGCTAGGCTTGGGTGCATTTTTTTTAAGGGGGAGCAGAGGGCGCGAGAAACAGAATAGCCTTTACGTTCCCCCGGAGATTCGGTCTGCTAGGGCGACTGTCTGGGATCCAACGCGGGAAAAGGAGAATTCGGGTAGACCAATCTGAGCCCACCAGCCTCGCTCGAAGGAAGATGGCAGGGACAGAGAGGGTGGCCATGCCGGGCGGTGGGACCCTTCCCAGCGCAGCCTCCCAGAAGAGGAGGCCCAGAATGACTCCCTGCCTTTTAACGTGGGCGGCTGCTCACTTAATCCCCAAGGAGCCACGTTTTCTCCGCCGGTTATGTAATGTCTGAATCTACACCCTGGGCTGCCTTAGTCAGAGGAAGAAACCAAGGCCTCGCCACGTGCGGCTGGGACGGGGGAAACAAACCCCACTGAGGCGGCAGCAGCCTCCGCGTGCCGATCAGCAGCGCCTCACAGGCAGCGCTTCCCAAAAGCACAAAAGGGTTCAAACCCGCCCCCCTCCAAAATAAGCGAGGAGGCCGGAGCAGCCAGCCAGACTGCCTGCCTGCCTGCCTGCCTCCACGACTGCCATCCAAACAAGCCGCCTCTCTGAGCCACGACGGACGTCGCCTGGGTGTCCTTGGGGCAGGACCCCTCCGGCATCCGGAGAGGGATCCGTGGCCGGGCTCCAAAATAAAGGCTCTCGTTTTCTGGAGGTGCATTATGACCCCCGTGAAGCCCACTCGGAAAGCAGACGGCCAAGCCCAAGGAAAGGCCGACTCCGTTCCGGAGATCCACTGGCAGGGGACCAACAGCTTCCTTCCTTCCCTCCTCCTTCCCGGGATGGCCTTAAAAGGGGTTTCCTCAATAGATCAGAGATTTTTAAAAACCTCAACAGCAAAATGTCCCCACCCCACCCCCCTTTTTTAAAAATTTGTTAGCTGGCTAAAAAAGACACGTGCTGTTTGGAGATCTTAAGCAAGGAATTCAAAGGAAGGTAGAAATTACCCTCTGGAGTCATTTTTGTCCAGCCAGGAAAAGAGAAGCTATGGCGGCTGTCCCGCTCTCGTGAACATGCCCCCAAATAAATGGGGCAAGACCAAAATTCTGCTGGCAAAACACACGTACTACGGGTGGCTCGTGCCCAGCAATAACTGCCCCCCCTGGCCAGAGGATGATTTAGAAACCCTGTCCATGCCCTGTCAGCTGTTTTCATCCTTCCTTCAAAAGCTACACAGCCAAACAAAAATCGGCAGGAATCGAGTTTGGTGGAATCAAGATCCTTTCTTGCAAGGGATGGTTTGCCAGCAAATATTCTAGTTCAATGTTTTACCTTGCCCAATGTTAATATTTTCATATATATATGAGAGAGGGGGAGAGAGGAGAGAGGGAGGGAGAGGGAGAGGGGAGAGAGAGGAGAGGGAGAGGTAGATAGATATAGACAGAGACAGAGAGAGAGAGAGAGAGGAGAGAGATATAGAGATAGATATAGAGATAGATAGATAGATAGATAGATAGATAGATAGATAGATAGATAGA